TTTTTTTAAAAGTGTCAAACACCGCGAGACCCGTGACCGCAACCTATTGATTGTGTCTACAATGACGGTACTCTATGGGTCAATGACCGAGATCACCTGGAGTAATAGTCGCGATCGACTGGTTGACCATCCATGGCCTATATAGCCTTACTTGATAAATGCCCTATCCAATACAAAAAGGGTTATTCAAATCTGACTAGGAGTTCCGGAGATTCAAGTGTGGGAGAGCCATGCTTCGGCACGAATGGGCCGGTTCGACCGGAGCGATACCACGGCCGAGCAGAAAACCCACGTGAAGCAACGCTTGCGTTGTGTTTCGTAGTGTGAGTGAGGTTACCGGAGGCCCAATTACCCTCCCCTTCCGTAATCTCCCCAATTCCTGAATCCCCAACGATCCTCAAACTCCTAATCCCCAAAAGGCCGGTAACGAACTTGTAACGCCTCTGGTGTTCCAGGTATCTTTGGGCGACGCCGATTGCTTGCCATGAGGTGATCCGTCTGCTCGTTTACCGGCTTATGCCATAAAAAAAAGGATAGTACCCAATTAAATTGTAGAAACAATTTCTTTTGGTCAGCGTTTCGAAAGCGTTCCGTTTACCGTTTCCCTGTTATAATAAATGCAAGTATAAGACAGATAAGATTTTTTCAGTTTCAGAAGAGTCAGAAACGGACGCAGTTCTGGAAAACTCTCTACCTCCACACATCCTGGCCCGCTATCCAGACTTTGAGCATCTGAATCCAGATTTCATTCTGGATTGGAACCAGCACATTGAAGGCATGGCTGAGGATTACAAAGTGATCGATACTTTAGAGAAATTGTGCTATTACAGTGTCAATGAACAGATTTTTAGAAATATATTGGTAAGTAACATTGTTATTATAAAAATGCGTTTAAAAAAACCGAATTCAAAAACGAAAAGTAAAAACTAAAAAGCAAAAAGTAACTATTATTGGTCATACGTACTTATAGCTTACGCACCCACTGATAAGTGAGAAGTCGGTGCCACAAGTTTTAAACAAAATTATTCATTAAAACCTTAATAGTATACGTAATACGTAATACGTAACATTATTAAGCTGTTTACAATTTTATTATGGATTATACCTGTGACCATTTCCTAAGTTATATTTTGTTATGGGTTTTTTTATTTAGAAAAATACCAGTAGGTTTATTTAATTTGTTGTTGTTATGTGGATTGTCATCTTTATGTTAATAGTAGTAAGGTTTATTTTAGCATTTACCCCATTAGTATTAGCCTTTTTTTAAAGGGGGAAAGTCATCGAATGACTTCTCCTGTGTCAGTGTCACACTCTTACTGATTAAAAACCACCCCGTTCCTACTCCTGCACTTCAAGCCGGAGCCCCGATAACCCGTTAACTTCTCCGCCGCTCTGTATCGGCATCAGCCCTATTGGTCCCCATTTCTGGTGGTCTGATGGCTCTTTGAGACGCGCGCGGAACGCGACGTGCCGTACGCTCGGGTCTGGTTCTGGTCAGGTGGCGAGTCACTCATGCTCGCCGTCCACAGGCCCGTGCTATGCATAATAATGAGATCTATTTTAATGAATAAATTACTTCAATACAAGGCTATATAAGTACATTAAGTTTAATACGTATATCCCATATGGGTGTATAGTTCTCATCCTTACAAATTATTCAAGCTAAATGGTTCATAGTAGCCATTAATCGTTTAGGAGTTCCCTTAGCTATCGTACTACTTCATCATCAGGCCCCTAATGAGAATCGTACCCCATTTAGGTGTAAAGTTCTCATCACTTCAAATTAATCAAGCCCAAACACCAGGTAGCTACTGTCAGCCATTAAGGAGTTCCCTTAGCTGTCAAAATCCTTCATCATCAGACCTCTAATGATATTCATAACCCATTTAGGTGTAAAGTTCTGATCACTACAAATTAATCAAGCCCAAACACCAGGTACATTCTGTTAACCGTTGAGGAGTTCCCTTAGCTATTATACTATTTCATCATCAGGCCCCTAATGACAATCACATCCCAGATGTAAAGATCTTTTCAATAAAAATAATTTAAGCCCAAACACGGGTTCATTGCTACAAATCCTCGAGGAGTTCCCTCGGCTGTCTCGACTCCATCATCAGATCAACTCCGTACTTTCATCAAATTGGAGTAGTTTCAAATACTATATCAAAAAATTGATAAACGCTCTCGCCGCCCGTACAATTTTGAAAAGTTCCCCTCGGTATGGAACCGAGAGGGATTCCATCATCACATCCTGACTTTGTGGAAATGGGATCTACCCCGAAAGTATGTCCTTTCCAAAAAAAAAAAAAAAATTGGAAAGGTACATTTTGGGAAAGAGACATTTTGGGAACGGGACATTTTGGGAACGGGACATTTTGGGAAGTTGACATTTTGGTACCAGGAGACATTTTGGGAAGTTGACATTCTGAGCCTCAACGGTTAAAAAGTATGTCTCACGATAGTCATTATAAAAACATAATGTTTCTTTTTACAGTTTGAACTAGTATCAAAATTGTCCTGCGACAGTCCTTACATAGACGCTACAGATCTATCAACAATCATAGACAAGACCGTTGCGCCGGAGCATAGAGTAAAGCTCCTCCAATCATTGTCTATACTAGAGTTGTCTTTGGTCATCGCTATGAAACATGGTATGGAGATATTCGACGGACAACCCATGAATTTCGAAATGGTTTTGCATAGGTAAGCAAAATAGATCATTATTTTATATTATCGACAGAGACAGAGTTCTCGCAAGGTCTCGGGTTCAATTCCCTGGTCGGGCAAAGTATTACTGGGTTTTTCTGAAAAAAAATCTCCGTAGTAGCGCGGAGTCTGGAATTTTGCCCGGTATGGCAATAGGCCTACCCCATATGACATGGGACTCATAACATAAATAGTGAAAAGTGGGTGTTACATTGTACAGTGGATCTCTGCATTTGCATCTCTGCCTACCTCACTTGCGACCACTCGGCCATCGAGGCATAACAACATAGTTTAATCAAAAACATGTAACCAAAAATTGTATTGTGAACATGATTGAAAAAGATTAACCTATGGAGTTTCTTGCTCGTTCTTCTCCATAGGAATCTACACTTTGGAACGAGCAAATAGCTTCACTAGAGGACTGACCTACAGACTGACATTTTTTCTTATTATTTAAACATTTTCAAACGTGCCTTCCTGGTCTAATTTTTTTTATGGCATAAACCGGTAAACGAGCAGACGGATCACCTGATGGTAAGCAATCGGCGTCGCCCATGGACACCTGGAACACCAGAGGCGTTACAAGTGCGTTACCGGCCTTTTGGGGATTAGGAGTTTGAGGATCGTTGGGGATTCAGGGATTGGGGAGATAGAAATAAATGATTTTGATTTTGATTTTGATTTTGAACATACTATGTAACACTAACAATAAAACTCATTCTTCCTCAGATACACAAAGTTCGCGAACTCAAACTCATCCACACAAACAGTGCCTCGTCCCGTCATTCTAAAGGCGTTCGAACATCTACAAGAACTAGAAATCATAATGCCAGTCAAATCCACAGATTCAATATATAACGGAAGTGAAACCACAGCCAATAGAGTGCAAAAAGAATATAAGTTGTACACTCTGGCCGTACCAAATGAAGATATAAGTGATGCCGTGAAGAATTTCAAAGCGTTGCCAACTGAAATTAATCATTGGTTCAATAATTCTGTTGTTTGATTTTTTTGGTGTGGCAACTTTTGGTTATGTGTCAATGTCTATGTCAAAGCTTGGGTTTTGGCTTTGTTTTAGTAGTATAAAATGCACAGTAATTCTTAACTTATATCTTACTATGTATTGAAATGTTGCATTCAGTTTCAAAAGTAATTAATTATTATGTTTTCGACTAACTCACGAAACTGTTTGAATTCGACTCTCGAACTCGACTAGTTTCAAGCTCATGTATGTAGAGACTCTAGCTTGGCTTGAAACTAGTCGAGGTCCTCGTCAAATAGTTACGTGAGTAAGCCGGAAACGTAGTAATTAATTTAGTATGTTTCATTTTTTAAATATAAACTTAACTTAAAAATATTTCGTACCCAGTTTTATTGAGTTGTGGGTAATGGTTCTTGTCGAATAAATAACCAGAAAACAATATACAATGTATTACAAAACCTTATTAAGACTGAAATCAATAAAAAATAAAACTAATTTATTAATTTGTACTTTGTTTTATTCATCAATTTATTATCTTAATATTACTATTCTTACATTACCTACCTATTAGGTAGTACCGTATTTACCCCACATCCTCAAGGGACCCTGAAGGACCGAGAATTAGTACGACAGACACACCCGATACTAGTTGCACGGCAATCTGCTACCGCGTAACCTGCAGCTGTAACCAAATGCCATTTAGCGCTTGTCTACATGTAGAATAGAAAATGTAGAAAACCAAATTACTTATATGGAATTGACATAAATTTTGACACTTATCAGTGATGACACTGCTAAGTGTCAAAATTAATCAAATCAAAATGAAGAAAGAAATCAAAATGTATGACACACTGATGTCATCCCCATCAGTGTCATACATTTTGATTTCTACTTTCTCTGTAGACAAGAGCTAAAGTGGCGCTTGGCTAAAGGCACTGTAGAGGTTTCGATTCCTGCTCGGAGCAAATCTTTGTGTAATCCACAAATTGTTGCTTCGGATCTGGATGTCATGTTTATGTGGAAATGCAATAAAGATATTTGAATCGGGTAGATGACAAATTTTTATTTTAACGTCCGTCTGGTAGATTATTTTAAAAGATTACACACGTATTTTTTATTTTTTTACAGAAACTAATACTTTCGACGATATGTTGATTTGAAATGTCGCGTAACGTCACTTCTATGTACATTTTATACGTAGAAATGACGTTTTAGACCCCACTCCTAAACTTTGATTCGTTGCATCTAAGTATTGTTTTCTTATACGGCAAAATAAAAAAATACGTGTCTAATATTTTTTCATTACCTAACTGACGGACTAATTAGATTTTTAATTTTCATACCGTCATCATCCCTAGTGTGGGGCAAAGTTAAAAAAATACATTCCAAGTGGGCCCCGGATTGTGCCCAAGGGCCCCAACGTTGTCAAAGAGGCCTAGTTACTAGGTAACCACATTTTTAGTTTTTTATCACCGGGTACTATAATATGCTTCTTAATCTAACCACCTAATATTAGAAGTAGCACTTCTTTGGACATCTCTTTTATAATCGTCTTCATGAAATCTGTACCTAAATCGGTCCTGGCTAGCACTAATTCGACCCAAATCCTCCAATTCTTTAGGCGACAAATCCTTATACCTTTTTCCTTTTATTTCCTCTGGTATCACATGGATTACATTACTGACCTCTTTATTAATTAGTGTGGTATCATTAATTTCGTGCACCATAGAGTCTAGAGCGCTGTGGGCGTGGTTTCCAGTGTTGCCAGGGCGTTTGTGCAAAAAGCCTTGGGTTGTGAACGATGGCGTTGGCTCCTGGTCGCTGACGTATGCTTTGTTGCTAAATACATGGAATAGGCCGTTCTTTTTCTTTGCCTGTAAAGAAACACTGTTATCGTTAAAAATAGTTTTGATTGACGTTTGTCGGATAGCAATTTTCATATGCGATGTAGTTGCATAGGAAGACAATGTACAGTCAAAGGTCAAAAGTCCACCGCCACCGTGAGTGATGTTCACACGGCAATGCGTAAGTAATTTCATATTAATGTGCATAAAAACGCGTGGGTACGCATAAACACACACACACACACACACACGGATAAAAATATGCGTGTGCATGTGTGTATAAGCGCTGCAGCGCAACCGATAGTAGCATTACGGTGGCAGTGGACTTTTGACCTTTGACTGTACCTATGCATTTATGATTTTTATAAATACGGTCCCCTATTTTGAGATTATGAAAGAAATACATACATAGTACTTCCACGGAGATATAAAAAAAAGAAAATCGGTCAGGTAGGTAAAAATAATAAAAAAAACAAGGCAATTAAAAAAGACATGTAATTGTAATTAGTAGATAAAATTAAATTTAGGTACATTGCGTTTGTATGCGTAGACTATAGATACCCTTTGAGTACCGTGATTATAGACACAATTAAAGAACAATAGGTTGCGGTCACAGGTGTCCTCGCGGTGTTTGACAGTTTAAATAAAATAAAAATCCTGGGAGCTGGGATATGGGAGATTTCCTAGATAGGTGCATTGGACTTATTTCATCCAATGGCAGCTAAATACACGACTATATAATAACATGTCTAAAATCGTGACTAAATAAATGTTATTTATTAAAATAAACGTTGACTTGTAAATTTTTATAAAAATAAGCTTTCATGCAGTATGGTGGTTTAAGTGTGGTAGAGCCATGCTTCAGCACGAATGTGTCGGCCCGACCGGAGTGATACCACGACCTCACAGAAAACCGACGTGAAGCAACGCTTGCGTTGTGTTTCGTCGTGTGAGTGAGGTTACCGGAGGTCCAATTACCCTCCCCTTCCTTAATCTCCCCAATTCCTGAATCCCCAACGATCCTCAAACTCCTAATTCCCAAAAGGCCGGTAACGGACTTGTAACGCCTCTGGTGTTCCAGGTGTCCACGGGCGACGCCGAATGCTTACCAAGGTGATCCGTCTGCTCATTTACCGGCTTATGCCATAAAAAAATGTCATGCAAACTAAACGTGTATACAAAATTCCAACTCAATCGGTTGAAGATATCTGCTTCAAAATTTTGCTGCAAGATTGCAAGATACACACAGACATACACTGCAAGTTATACGCTTGTATTGTAGGACATGGTCAAACTCACCAACTAAATACTATACATTTTAAGAATATCTACTTACATTTTACACTGACTCACTAATATACATAATTATACTAACGCACTTACCTATATTCCGAACAAATCAATAAATATGTTAAAAAAAAAATGGTTGCCTGTAAAGTCGTTTTTACGGGCGAAGATTTTACGTGACAACGTCTTTTTCTCGGTAGAATATTTATTGATATGAATATAATTAAATTGCACAATAGGAACAAGGAATTGAATGAACTAGTGCTGCGCGCGCGGCAGACCGATCATAGTTGAGTGGGAGAGAGACGCAAGGCATTCGGCGGGCCTCTCTCTCGTTCGGTGACTCATCGTAACGTTACCGAGCGTTACACTTTTTCATAAGTGACTCCCAGCCGCAACCTAATTTAAGACGTTGTCACGTCAAAAAATAAATGTTAAGCAAATGTAATTTATGATAAGCTAGTGACAGCCCTAAAATTTGCAACGCCTGAAAAAGGCCGTTAAGCTGTGCCTGTTATTTCATAAGACCTTTTTTTTGAGGGGGGAAAATCATCCAATGACTTCTACCGCCCGGGTGAGGCGGGAGGGAGTGTCAGACTCTTACTGACTAAAAACCACCCCGTTCCTTCTCCTGCACTTCGAGCCGGAGCCCCGGCAAATTTCATAAGACCTGTATGTACTTATTACCTAAACATGCAAATAAAGACTGAGTTTGAAAAAAATACTGCGGCATGTCTTGTCTACAGACTACATCTACGTCAGTTTCTATTTCCATGGACACTGTCTATATTGCCAGATAGCCTTCTACATTGGTTTAAACTACATACTATAAATATGTACTAGCCTCATTGAGTTTGTCGACGATGTATCCGTGGCCCGTGTTCATGCCGACTGTAGCCATTTGTTCTATACTATTGGATCTGTGGTACGGACGCAGAGCTGATACTGCGCGAGATATTCCCACCTGGAGTAAAAAGAAATAATTATTAAATACTAGCTACTTTCATGCGGTTTCATCCGCACTGCACAACTCCTATTGGTCGTAGCGTGATGTTTTATAGCCTATAGCCATCCTCGATAAATGCGCTATCCAAGACAAAAAGAATTATTCAAATCAGACTCGTAGTTACGGAGATTAGCGCGTTCAAACAAACAAACAAAAAACAAACTCTTCCGCTTTATATAATAAGTATAAGATTGTGAATATCATAGGTTTTTAATCGGGAGGTCGTAGTATGAATTAATTTTTTCCTGAATGGGAAAATAGTATTGGTTCCGTTTGGCCCAGTAAACTCAATAATGGGTACCCTACGCAAGAATTTCACGATTTATTAAGGCCCAGCGCCCACTATCGGGTGCCCTGCGGCGGCTTCGGGCTTCTTCGTGCACCTTCGGGTGGCTTCAGGCGGCTTCGGGCGCCTGACAGCTGCCTCGACAGTTTACGAGTACGAGTTACGAGTTGCCGAGAAACCGCCCGAAGCCGGCGTAAAGCGCCCGACCTGCATCGATGCTCACCGGTAGTGAAAAGAATACCCCATAAAAGATGTAAAATTCCTTTTCATTTCAATTAACCAAATAAAATAGGGGCAAACTTTTAAACTATAAATAGTTTCAGCATTCGTTAGATAAATATCCAATAGACTTTGCATCACCTTAGAATCTACCTCATTTTTCTTTATTATTTCGTTAATATTCCAAGATATTTTCAATCGGGTTTCATGTCGCGTTAGACGAGAGCTTACCTGTCCATGTCTAATCCTGTGTTCAGTAATATCAGCTCCTAGCAGTTCAGTGTATGGATCCATGCGTATTGGCATGATCTTGTCAATGCACCATAGTAATGTGATAGTGACCAGAATACCCCAGGTCATTAGACAAACGCCTGTTAGAGATTGTACGCCGAGGAGATACCAGCCACCGCCTGTAAAAAGGTATAATAGGGATGATGACTGGGTATGAAAATGAAAAATCTAATGAACCAGTTCAAAAAAGACTTGACAGATACATGATAATGAATTAAGTACTGATAGAAAATACGATGCGGGCATTTATAAGCTGTCTCAATTGCCTACCTGAATTAAATAAATAATAAATATTAATCAGTCCGTCAGTTAGGTAATGTAAAATATTAGACACGTATTTTTTTTATTTTGTCGTAGGTATAAGAAAATAAAGTGTGGGAGAGCCATGCTTCGGCACGAATGGGCCGGAGTGATACCACGGCTTCACAGACAACTGACGTGAAGCAACGCTTGCGGTGTGTTTCGTCGTGTGAGTAAGGTTACCGGAGGCCCAATTACCCTCCCCTTCCCCAATCTCCCCAATCCCTGAATTCCCAACGATCCTCAAACTCCTAATCCCCAAAAGAAAGAAAGAAAGAAAGAAAGAAAGAAAAATAATTTATTCGCCACCGACATGGACCACCGAATAACACGGCCAAAAAGGCCGGTAACGCACTTGTAACGCCTCTGGTGTTCCAGGTGTCCATGAGCGACGCCGATTGCTTACCGTCAGGTGATCCGTCTGCTCGTTTACCGGCTTATGCCATAAAAAAAAACAATACTTAGCCAAAATAAAACGAATCAAAGTTTAGGAGTGGGAGCTAACTACGTCACTTTGAGTATAAAACGTCCCCAAAAGTGACGCCACGCGATATTTCAAATCAATATGTCGTCGAAAGTATTTGTGTCCGCAAGAAATTTAAAAAGTACGTGCCTAATGATTTTAAATAATCTACCAGACGGACATGAAAATAGAAATTAGTCATCTACCCCAAATATGAAGCCAGAAAGTAGTATGCAAGGATTTTTTTAAGGGGGAAAATCATCGAATGATTGCTCCCGCCTGGGTGAGGCGGGAGGTAGTGTCAGACTCTTACTGACTAAAAACCACCCCGTTCCTTCTCCTGCACGTCGAGCCGGAGCCCCGGTTACCCGTTAGGTTCTCCGCGACAATATGCAAGGATAAGGATATTTTGCAGGTATAAATAAATGGGCGGGCTTGATTAGAGCGATACCACAGCCTTACAGAAAATAGCCGTCAAATAACCCAAGCCTTATGTGCAGCCCTGTGAGAGAGGTTACCGGAGGCTCAATCTTATCATCTCATTCCTAATCCCCCCCAAGACCTAAATCCCCAAATCAAGACATCACGGAAATCACGATCCAGTCATAGGCTAGATTCTAGAATGCGATGTAAACTGTTGAACACAGCATGTCATTATGTGTAGGTACTTACCCTTGAATAGTCCAGATCTGCCGTTTGTAGTTTCCATAGGAATCGGATTATCAGCGAACAGTCCAACTGCTAGTACACCTGTTAATACAAAATTATGTCATTTATGCCTGTGAATAACTTTAGCAGTACCCATAACAATGGAAATTCTCGATTGGCTTGTAGGTATTACAAATTTAAGATTTTGTATTACAATATGTATTGTTTATAACATAACATAACATCATGCCTTTTATCCCGAAGGGGTAGGTAGAGGTGCACATTATGCCACTGTACAATGTAACACCCACTTTTCATTATTTATGTTACGAGTCCCATGTAATAGGGGTGAGTCTATTGGCATATACCGGGCACAATTCCAGACTCCGTGCTACTACTGAGAATTGTTTTAAAAACCCAGTAATACTTTGCCCGGCCCGGGAATCGAACCCGAGACCCCTTGCTCGGCAGTCGCACTTGCGACCACTCTGCCAACGAGGCAGAGGCAGCAGAGATGTATTGTTTTTCTATTAAAATATGGTCATCAAGATTAAGGGTGTGTACCAAATAACAGATCGAGGGTAAAATTCGTGTTCCTTTTGACCCAAACAAGGAATGAGAAAGTTAAAGGACGTTGAAAAATAGGCGGACACAGTCTCTTGAGACAACGACTGTGGCGCCTTGTTTTTATGGGGACAAGCCCGCCACAACCTCCCAAAACCGCTGCAACTCTTGTAAGTCAGGATCTACAGTAGATACAACCATGAAAACACCGGAACACTGAAGTCCGGCGCGTCTCAGGGACATGAGTAACTGTCTTGGTTCCCGCAACGAAGTGAATCAGAGATATTATAAGAGGAGAAGAAGAAAAAACGATAGTTTCCACTTCCCTCGGTGAATTACTGCAGGAGACAGAATGAATTAAGCCTAAAGGCACAAAGAAGAGACTGTACACCTGTACAACTGGGCACCACGGAAATTTGACTAACAACTAAGTGGGTCCTATGTGTGAGCTGTTATACTTGCTTCCAGTAATAGGTATGACAAAAACGTCTAAACGAATGTGGCACCTGGCTACTATAGACTTACACGCAGAACATGCACACATTTTTTCACCGTCCTTGGGCCAGCTGAGGAAAACTGTTCAAAAAGAACTGTAAAGGTTTCTCTTACCCCAAAGTCCACAGGCACCATGGACGGCGGACGCTCCAACTGGGTCGTCAACCCCCATCATGTCGAACAAGGGAGATGTGCCCGACGCTATGGCGGCCCCTATAAACCCAATCAGCAACGACTCCCAAGCTCGGTAGAGGAAACAGCCAGCTAAGGTAAGAAAATAAAAGATTTTTACCAAACTTACTCAAACTCCTAAGCAAAGTGACACTTAATTGCATTTTGGTTGTCAATATCTGTTACCCGATGGTAAAACTAAGGGGCTAGTTTAGGTGATCCCACTGAGTATCTCTCAGTTAAGAGATAGTTAAGGTCATTAGACTTACTCACACAAAACTGGCTTAAAATAAAAAAGCTTGCGTTATGGTACGCCGTGTGAGTGAAGCTAGCGGAGGCCCATCTCTCACTAAGACGGCAACGCATTTGTCCGCAGTGTTCTGGGTGTCCATGGGCGGCGCCCATTGCTTACCATCAGGTGATACGCTTGCTCATTTGTCATCATATACCATAAAAAACGTAAATAAGTGAATTGCAATTACCAGTAATAGAAACCAGCGACCCTAACACACTGTTGATGAGTTCCATCACTTCTGCCTTTCCTTTGTTTTTGATTAGCGTGAAGCTGAAACCAAAAGGAAATATTCACTATTCTAAAAAAGGTCAAGGGCTTACGAACGTATTAGGTATACTAGAAGAAGACCAAAAAGACCAGGGTAGATTAGAGTAGGGAATAGGTATACTAGATCATCATCTACTACATCATCATCAGCCTGTTTCCTTTTGCTGCTGAATCTCCAATCTTCAGCTCTCCGGATCTAGCCACTAGCCACTGCCGGCCACACAGCGGATATCGGCGGACTCCATCTAGTTGAACATCTTACACTACATTTGCCTAAATGCTGTCTCCACTATAGAACACGTCTACCTCAGCGGTCCTAGAATTCTTTGACAAATATGACCATCTAGGCGATTCTACATACTTACATAACTTTACGGTTGTCCTTCATAGGGGTAGGAAAGTAATTTTCAATTCGAACTTTCAAAGTGAACTGGATCGCATCCTCGCCTGTTATTCGTCGAGATTATTCTCTTAACCAATGAGATGGCGGACCGCGATCGAGGTTACTTCGATGTTCGAAATGAAAGTTGCATATTAGCCTAGCAGTCTATAAGGAGCCGCGTAGGACTTAACGGGTCGCCGGGACTCCGGCTCGAAGGGCAGGAGTAGGAACGGGGTGGTTTTTAGTCAGTAAGAGTCTGACACTCCCTCCCAACTCACCCAGGCGGGATAAGACATTTGATGATTTCCCCCCTTAAAAAAGCCTAGCAGTCCATTGCCACTTCACTTTGCTAATTATTTGGATCTTTCTAAGATCACCTCGTTCAATTACACTAGGTATACTAACAGTAGTCCGAAGCAGCCTCCTCCGAAAGATCCCATCATCGTCATCACAGCGGCCCTTGCTGCATATTGCCATTTAGCTCCACTCACCTGCAAACACAGGACATGACGTATATTTCAATGGACACGACGGGTACAGAAGATATTGACACGTTGGTTAAATTTTTGATTAACTCTTGCTTTTTTTATTCTAGACGAATGTCGTGGTGGCACGGAGATTATTTAGATATCAGGGACAAACGGTGAAGGAAAACATAGGGTTTTAAATTTGTAATTATAAGTTTGAAATCGCCAACCAGCATTAAGCAAGCGCTCCATTAATGCTCAAACCTACTCCCTGCGAGAAGAGGGCTTTGGTCAGTAGTGCCCACTTGTGGGCTGTTGATGATGTATGCTCTTTTATTAGTAAGGGTTTTGAAATCGGACGTGGCTGAAGAAGTAATAAAGTAACTTATATGGCTACGACGAGCCACATCTTTGCCGTTGATGTTATAAAAATATGTGCGTCTTTCGTCAAATCAATGCGCGTTTTATTAATAGAAATAACATTTAGTAAATTTAAATGTGAATGGACAAAGATGGCGTCTGTTAGAAGGAAATTTAATGAAGACACATTGAACCGAAGTCAAAGCATTTTTTATTTCAATTAATCCATAAATAAGCACTTTTGAAACGTCTAAAATCGAATTGTCGGTTCGTCTGTCTGTTAATGATACCGTAATGCCTAGGCACTCGTTCTAGTGCACTGCACAGAGAGGCTCTTGGTGGACACACATGTCTCCATATCCCTATGGTGCCGTAACAGGCGTTGCACCGTGGGGGCTTCGGGTTTGGTCTACTAAGAGGACCCGGTGCCTCCTTTACTTGCGGATGGTAGCCACTGGGTAGGTTTTCGTGAGGTAAAAATCCCACACACCCTGGTCTTTTTTCCCCAAAAAGCTAGGTACCTTTTGAAGGTTTCCCCTTGTCAACAAAAAAAGGCGCTCGTTCCAATGTGTAGTTTCGAATGCAGAAGAACGAGCAAGAAACTCCATCGTTACTCTTAAAAAAATGTTTTTGCACTCTCTTTGATACATTGATTGGATTCAGGATATAAATCCTTCCCGGCTGCAATTAATCGAAATTCAACTATGTACATGTTACTAATAGGTAGGTTCAGTTATTAATTTTGGCATTGAAACCGCCACTTCTAAAACACAAGATAATACACCTCATTTAAAAGAAACATGTTATATATTTAAACACGTTAAACGATGAGACATTACAGGCATTCCTAATGTGTCTAGGTAATCGCTCCGCATACGTAATGCCTACCCATTGTATACTAAATAGTAGCCAATCAATTAACCATACATTTGACATGCAAACTGAATTACAAGCAATTTGCCTAATTTATTAAAATGGTCGACGTTTACCGACAATCCTGCTCAACTAATGATTTGCGTTTACCATGAATTGAAACGTTTTTTAGTGCTTAGGGAGACGATACATTGAGTTTGTTTATTTGTCAGGTTCGATAGGGAGAAGTTTAAAGAGAGCTATCATTCAACCACTACAGGACCATGGGCCTCCTCTACATAAGAGGAATTGCTATTATACGAGGTGTTGTTTTAAAGCCGCGTCATTTTCTAGGAGGTAACTCGGCTATCGATTCTGGGACCGAATCAATAAAAAAAAAATTGTAGGTAAATATTTTTCATTTTTCTGTAAATTACGGATATCCGTAGTAAGTGCGAACTATACGTCGCCGTCTTGTAACTAGATTTATAACGCGGCTTAACACACACAAACTCAAACACGTAATTGATATTATTCCTAGTTCCACAAAACTCCAATGCGAAACATTGCTGTCGCTTATTCTGAAATACTGTCGAACTTAACGATTTATTATAGCCGTATTTTTGACTATTGGCCCGAAACTTTCTGTTACATTGAACCTTTATGACTTCTGTGACAAGCCTCCGAGAAATGTCACGGTTTTAATATTACACCTTGTATAGTCGCTTGCTAGGTGGGTGGTGGGTTGGAGATCGCAATGTTAATAGGTTCATAGTTTATTATTGAATAAACTAGTCAGTGGTCTAATGCATAGAAAAAATAACATACTTTACAGAACCAGCGTGCCCAACCCACGACCAAACTAACACATAACATCACGCCTTTTTGCAGACGTCCACATTACGGCACTTAATGCCACTGTATAATGTAACACACACTTTTCACTATTTATGTTATGAGCCCCATGTAATATGAGGTGAGCCTATTACCATATACCGGGTACAATGTCAGACACAGTGCTACTATTAGGATTTTTTTTTAAATCCAGTAATTCTTTGCCCGACCTGGGAATCGAAGCTGAGACCCCTTGCCCGGCATTCGCACTTACGAGGCTAACGAGATTGTCTTCTTGATAATCATATGTCACATTAGTAAAGTCTAATGTGTAGTTTTTTCGTCGGGTCTTATGTCGCCAGCCAACTTCGCTGCCACCAGAGTGAACGTTCATTCCAGAATAAATGGGGTAAGTCATTTATATATGCCAAAAATAGGAAAGGGCCTAGTATTGAGCCCTGCGGTACACCCATAGATATGCTAGGGTGCTAGCATATCTATGGGTGTCTGTCATGCACTTTAAGTTGCCTATCCCAAAGATATGACTTTAGAGATACTTGGTAGATTAGCGATACCCCTCTAATGCCGTAGTGTTCCAGCTTCAGCAAAAACGTCTCGTGCTCAACACAGTCAAATGCCTGTTCGATACTACATATTACGTTACGAATGCGATAGTTATTCGTGCTTGGCACTCTGGTGATTGGACAATCTTAAAACACTAGATACTATAAATACTACATAATTATACAGGTTACCTACAAATGTGATGCTATTTCCATGTGTGAAGACTATAATCAGCACATACCGACATGACAGGATCATTTACGTTAATGTGACTTAAAAACAACAGTAAAAATAATTTAGCGATACTTAACTTGGACGCGGATTTCCATAACAGAAATGTATTGTTTCTATAATCGATGCAAAATTTTAAATAGAAATCTTTGTGGTGGTAATGGTTACACTCGGACGCTATTCAGGAAAAGTCCAAATATTTGTGCAAGTAAATTATTTGTCGCTAAATCTAGTTGTCTAAACGCGATTCCGGATTCTGGATTTTTGTCTTAAAATTGAGAGATGGCAGAGTAGAGTATATTGTCACAAAAGAAAGAAAGAAAATGCATTTATTTGGCCATTGCCAGAGAGCCATCAGACCACCACGGATGGTGCCCAATAATCCGGGTTGCCGGGGCTCAAAGGCAGGAATAGGAACGGAGTGGTTTTTAGACAATAAGAGTCTGACACTCCCTCCCGCTTCCCCCAGGCAGAAAAAGTATTTCGATGATTTTCCCCCCCTTAAAAAAGGTCGTGAAATTATGACAAACGCAAAGTGTAAAGGTGGCTTATAGTCCAGGTTTAGTATAAGTTTGTTTTACGTTTAACGAGACTAAAACGAGACGCTGTGATTGGTTGGTTTATTGGAACCGGCCAATCGGAACGGCGATCGCGGTCTCGTACAAGTATATAAAATCGTTGAAATAAAAAGTAAAACATGTCGTGCGTCCGCTACTTAACTTGAAACATAACATGACTTATTCAATACTGGTCTTCCACTAATTGATTGTTTTTCTTGTGACCTTGAGGTGACGCATGTTCTAAAGCAGTGCAGTAAATTATCTTGAGCCAATAAATCTTTTTCCAGTGTTTCGTTGAGACGTCGTGCTCATTTTAAATTGGACAAACTATGGTAATTAGTTTTCGTATTCAACATAGTATTTAATGTCCGTTTTCACCAAACTCCTATAATTTTAAGGAAGCTTTAAGCTAAGATAGGAGGCTGTTAACGACGTTTTGGGTTTTATCAACGTATTTCACACCTAATTTTATGTAACGGTACCTATCTGGTTCGGGGTTGGTTTAGGTACTTCTTCACGCTAAGGATTTCTTAGTTAAGTGGTGGTTAACGGGTGATTGGTGAAAAAAGCTATAAGTCTTTCGGTGGATATGCTCAACTAAGGCCCAATCCTTCAAAATGCCAGTAACGCACTTGGAACTCCTCTGGTGTTGCGGGTGTCCATGAGCGGCGCCGATCGCTTACCATCAGGTGATCGGCCTGTTCATTCGTTAGCCACACTATTTCATAAAAATATCTTTTGTGATGAACCTAACTGAATAATTTTTTCACCTTCTTTAACCAACAATATTTGAAAATCAAAATTCATCAAATCGGAGTAGCCATTCTCAAGCAAAAAAAAAACGACCAGCAAACTATTTTTAACCGACATCTAAAAAGGAGAAGGTTCTCATTATAGACACAGTTCTACTTACTCCATATGTGCTGCCAGAATTGAAGGCGAGCCAGCCCCACCAGAGGACGAAAGTCCCCATGACTGCGTTGACAGGATTTCCCATGGGTAATGGAGCTATGCCATGAGCATACCGACCTAGTCGAGGACCTAGCATTAGTGCTGAAGCAAAGGCTGACGCGCCACCTGGATGGAGAAGATTTGATTAAGATGTTTTGAAAAACTGACACAGACAGGATTCTAACTTTTGCCTACCGAATGTCCTCTTCATTTAACACTGGTAATGTTATGAGCTACTTATTTTGTAAGCATCTTGTGCGTGTTTTAGGTATCTCGCAAGCTTTCCTGGAAATGCGTGATTAGGCCATCCTGGTTGTCAAAAAACAATGAAGACATAACATTACGCCTTTTATCCCCGAAAGGGTAGGCAGAAGTGCACAATGCACCTTACGGCACTTAATGCCACTATACAGTGTAACACCCACTTTTCATTATTTATGTTATGAGTCCCATGTAATAAGGGGCCTATTGCCATATACTGGGCACATTTTCAGACTCCATGATACATCTAAAGTTTTTTAAAAACCCAGTAATACTTTGCCCGACCCGGGAATTGAACCCGAGACCCCTTGCCCCTTGCGAACACTCGGCCAATGAGGCAGCTATGAAGAAAGTATGGCTAACCAGAATCCTAAAAAATCCCTTAGCATCTGACAGTCCTTTCATGTAAAACACTGACTTTCCCATCAAATCTGGTTCAAACTCAGTGCCGTGACTCCAGCCCAGTCTTTTTTAATTAAACGTTGCTCCACATTAGGATTTACTCCTGTTTCGTGGGTGCATTTACAAATACAATTTCACATTCATAAGGGCGGCGCTGATCGCTTTCCATCAGGTGATCCATCTGCTCGTTTGCCTAATATTCCATAAAAAAATACACATGACAATCAGACCAGAAACACAATTTGTGGATCACACAAAGAGTTGCTCTGTGCGGGAATCGAACCGGCGACACATTGCACGGCAGCCGACGACCAGCCACCTCACCAACCGTGTAGTCAAAGTTTGGGAAAACAAGAATATAAAAAATATTCTCTTTTAAACCTGACCCTATTAGACTGCGATCTCCCATCCGCTTGCCAAGTCTGGTAATTATGGCAAACCCCTATTTTGTGGAGAAACCGATGATGAACCTTCAAAAACTCACTTCAAAAGCTCACCACTGAAAAACGCCTTACCTATAAGATGCACAGGTCCAGAGCCAGCGATGTCAACAGCGCCCAGCTTGTTCAGAAACCCATGGGAGCCCCACACCCAGCCGGCTGGCACACAGTAGACTATTGTGTTCAGCAGCGAGAACAGACAGTACGCCTTGAAGTTACACCTGGTGGCGGAAGGAATTTTAATTCTTCATTTAGTCTTTAGGTACTTTAGGTACGATAGGATTTTATATAATGCATCTTTCTGACTTCGATTGCTTCGGACAAAGTATTTAGTTTGGTTATATTTATTTCAGGTTGCTCATAGGTAGGCGTGCTCCATCGTCGGCCACATCATCGCTTACCATCAGGCGAGATGGTGGTCAAACGTCGATTTATAAAGTACTAGCTTTTACCCGCGGCTTCGCTCGCGTCACAAAAGAATAAAAAGTAGTCTATGCGACATACAGCGCCATTTATACCAATACTTTTGTTTTGCCATGGGAATATTAAATTTTTCCGGAATGAAAAGTACCCTATTATTTAATCCGGACTTCCAACTTTACGTCTGAAAAAATTCAAAGCAATCGGTTTAGTAGTTACGGCGTAAAGGCGGAACAAACAAACAAACTCATTGTACGATTTATAATATTAGTAAGGATAAAAAAAAAATTCTACGTTTTTCTTTGACTTAAAAATGTATCAGTAATAGGATGGAGTTTGAAGTGTGCGAGTAAGTAATTGTGTCCAGTGAGCTCATATTAAGGATATTTTTGCAAGGAGATTTATGCCATCTGTATTTTATATATAATTTAAGAACACGTACGTTTGCAAATACACTGTATAGAACTGTTCCTAGGGGGAATCGGACAAGTGGCACGTTTCGCATCACCCTTTGTATGTACAGTCAAAGGTCAAAAGTCCACTGCCACCGTGAGTGATATTCACACGGCAATGCGTAAGTAATTTCATATTAACATAACATAACATACATATGTTATGTTAATAACATAACATAACATCACGCCTTTTTATCCCCGAAGGGGTAGGCAGAGGTGCACACAGAAGTAACACCCACTTTTCACTATTTATGTTACGAGACCCATGTAATAGGGGGTCAGCCTATTGCCATATACCGGGCACATTTCCAGACTCCGTACTACTACTGACATTTTTTTTTTTAAAAAACCCAGTAATACTTTGCCCGACCTGGGAATCGAACCCGAGACGCCTTGCCCGTCAGTCGCACTAGCGATCACTCGGCCAACGAGGCAGTCACATACATACAACATAATATTAATGTGCATAAAAACGCGTACGTACGCATAAACACACGCACGCGTACGCACACGGATAAAAATATGCGGTGCATGTGTGTATAAGCGCTGCAGCGCAACCGATAGTAGTCTTACGGTGGCAGTGGACTTTTGACCTTTGACCATCCATTTGAACATGTAATAAGTTATGTAGCGATTGTCACATTCGTGTAAGTTTGTACAGATACACCCCTAATTTACCTCTTACCTCTCAGCCATAGCTCCACTAACAATCGTAGTAGCAGTAGTAGCGAAGGACAGTTGGAACAAGAATGATGCGAACACAGGCCCCATCAGAGCATCCCCCACTGGAGGGTCAAGCAAAAAGTCGCCCACCCCTATAAAGGGGTTGGAGTATGTCCCCTCCCCGAAGGACATGCCGTAGCCAAAAATCCAGTAGGTGAGACCTAAAGAGAAATTTCCATTTTTGAGTTCGGTTGGTGTGCTTTTTCGCAAGTATGAGTCCCGAATACGGTTTGAAACTTATCGAATTACTTCGTAAAACAGTTACTTGAGTACCTAAGCCGTGAAATATTATTTTAATTGTAACATAACTTTATGCCCTGTTTGTGGATAAGGGGACGAATAAAAGTATCTCATTGTAGCTTATTATTATTATCGGTTAAAAATATCTCAGTTACAGAGTCTCGAATCAGTAAGGGTAAATAGGGTCGCCCTCTATTAGGAGACACTTATACTAAAAGTGGAGAAAAATGAGTGCAACATTATTTTAATGTTTGCACCTCTCAAGCAGAGAACTCCTTCCAAATGCGTACCAAAAGGTATATGGTATAGTTTTGGAATTAAGCCCAAAATCCAATAGAGAAAAAAGAAGACAGGTTGTTAGTACATAACATAAAATCACGCCTTTTATCCCCGAAGGGGTAGGCAGAGGTGCACACAGAAGTAACACCCACTTTTCACTATTTATGTTACGAGTCCCATGTAATAGGGGGTGAGCCTATTGCCATATACTGGGCACATTTTCAGACTCCGTGCTACTACTGACATTTTATTTTTTTTAAAACCCAGTAATACTTTGCCCGACCCGGGAATCGAACCCGAGACCCCATACCCGGTAGTCGCACTTGCGACCGCTCGGCCAACGAGGCAGTTGTTAGTACCTTGGTAATAAAAATCTTACCCCCTAAAGAAATGTCAGCCAAGTTCTTCATCATAATGTTAGCTTCGTTCTTTATGGAGACACATCCAGACTCCAACATTCCGAAACCTGGAAAACAAGAAGAATAAAGAAAAAAAAAAGAAAAGATTTTATAAATGGCTATAAATTCCTTAATTTTTATCGCAAATACAAAGGAAAGATAGACATTTGACGTAGTAGGGGATGTGGACGAGCGGGTTACCGAAGCAGGAGTAGGAACGGGATGGTTTTTAGTCAGTAAGAGTCTGACACTCCCTCTTGCCTCATCCGGGCGGGAGAAGTCACTCGATGATTTCGCCATCTCATCCATCAGTTTTTGTGAAAGTCTTTGAAGTCTGTGTTGAAGTGTATAATTAAATGTTTTGTTTTCATTTTACTGTGATATAGGTACACCTTTTTTTATCATCTACTATTGTAATTGTCTGATTTTTTTATGTTTTTTTTAATTGAATTTTATTTGTATTTTTTTTAATGTGATGTTTATTTAACTATGTGCTTTTTTTTCTTCTTTTTCTGTTATTGAAACTGTTTGATTCTCTTTGATTTCTCTTTGTGTGTGCGTTAATGTAATTGGTGTAAAGCAGTGTTAACATCACAGTAATAAATAAATAAATAAATAATCTCAAAAAAGCAAGTGACCTTTTAACTACGACATTCTTTGAAAAGTGGGTCAAGTCGCCAATTGCAAAGGTAAAAATGGTATTATTATAATCAGGATTAGCAAGATTAACAATTTTCCTCAAATAAATAGAGTAAACACGTTTTGCGAAGGCAAACATTGCATTACAGTGTGAATCACATGTACCTTTGTATATTATGGTGATGAAAAAGATTATGATGCTGCATATAATAGTTTTTTAATGGCAAGTCGTTTTTTTATGGCATAAGCCGGTATACGAGCAGACGGATCACCTGATGGTGAGCAATTGGCGTCGCGTATGGATACCTGGAACACCAGAGGCGTTACAAGTGCGTTACCGGCCTTTTGGGGATTAGGAGTTTGAGGATCGTTGGGGATTCAGGAATTGGGGAGATTGGGAAAGGGGAAGTTCATTGGGCCTCCGGTAACCTCACTCACACGACGAAACAACCCGCAAGCGTTGCTTCACGTCGGTTTTCTGCTCGGCCGTGGTATCACTCCGGTCGAGCCGGCCCATTCGTGCCGAAGCATGGCTCTCCCACACTAAAAAAGTCGTTGGTAAAAAACTGATGGATCACATCAACAGGCGCCGCTTTTGGGTATCCGGAGCACCATGATAGTTACAAGTACATTACAGGGATGAGGAATTTCGGGATATAGGGAATTGGGGATGAGGGAATGGGAGGGAGGGGAAGACCGGATCTCCGGTAACGTTAAAATCAATTTAAATTTTTTGTTGACATTCAAATACGTGAAATAACGATTACTCCTGAAAATGCCGTTAACGCACTTATGATTACTCTGGTGTAGTTTGGAGTGAATGACGCTGATCGCTTACCATCAGTTGATCCATATGCTCGATCATTTGCCCCTTATTCCATAAAAACCCCTTCAAGGATAGAAACTTTGACGTTTCCAGGTCAACTAGCATTAAATAAATAGGAAATGTCAAGAATATAAATAACTTAAGTTGGCAAAGTAAAGCTATTAAGAAAGTAATGTTTCTATAATTGTTCGATTAAAATTCTGCAACGTATTCGCCATAAATACTGGCTAAATGGCAGGGCTGGACTTTTGGATAGATGCCAGGTTAACCCATGTCATATTATACCTACTTACACAGTAGATGATGGACAAAAGATAGGATTACATTCCTGGATCGTAAAGTATTATCATATTAGGTGCCCATTATTTTCTTGTCACTGAAATCCTCAAAGAAATTCCAAATAGGCCGGCAATGCACTGGTGACTCTTCTGATTTTGCGACTGGTCTGTCGAGGGATGTTTTTTAGCACTATGCAAGCAACTGAGATGAGAGATCGCCCATGGACACCCTCAACACCAAAGGATACGACACTTTTTGAGGATTGAGAATTAGGCCTCCGGTAATCTGACTGACATGACTCCATACGATGCAGGCGTTGCTTCACGCCGGTGCACTACAAGACCGTTGTATTATTCTGGTCGAGCCGGACCATTCGTGTCGAAGCATGGCTCTTCCACGTGAGCTGTATGTCTTTATTTACTGCCTAATTTATTTTGGATAACAAGATTAGGTCATGATGATGTAGCCTTTTGTGTTGGGAAAATCCTAGTTTTTATGGGCTAAATAAATTTGCAATTAGACATGCATTATAATTGGTGCTTAGTCAAAAATGAATCTTGCGGTTTAGTATAGTAAAAAAAGTGTAGTGTTTGGCAAAAGTACTTTTTTTTTGTTAGTAATGTTAAGTATTGGTTTGGGAATGTTACGTGTGACTACTGTAGGTTTTCGATTCCTGAGTCGGGTTATCATTTTTTTGTGTTTCACTACTTTTTTTTTGTGAGGGGAAAGTCATTCGATGGCTTCTCCCGCCTTGGGTTAGGCGAGAGGGAGTGTCAGACTCTTACTGACTAAAACCCACCCCGTTCCTACTCCTGCTCATCGAGCCGTAGCCCCGGTAACCCGTTAGGCCTTCCGCGGCTCCGTATCGGGCATCATCCATACTAGGCCCCATCAGGGGTGGTCTGATGGCTCTTTGAGGTGTGCGCGGAACGGCGACGCGCCCCGCCTCCTCCTGAGCTAGCACGACTTATTCGCAGAGGGAGGGATGACATCCCAATGCCCCTCGCTCCGTCCGACACGAGAGGTCGCCGTCGCCAACTATATCCCTGAGGACACGGCGGTGCTCAACCCACGCAGAGCACGCCTCCATCGTATGCACCACCGTGTCCTCCGGGCGGTCCGCGCAGTAACTGTGTTTCACTAATTGCGTTGCAATATGTATTGGGATATACAGCGCATTTATATTTATACATTTGATCGTTATATCGAATGTATACTTGAATAATGTAAATGTCTCGAAATGGTTTTAATTTCGTGGGTAGCTAAGTTGATGATCCCACTTTCCGCCATCCGATAATCAAACCTCAGATACTTTTATCGCCATTTGTCAATTATTATCACTTCAGGAGGTCCATAATCCCACAATGGGCAGTCATGGAATATTGAAATGAAGTAAAACAAGATTATAATATTTCTACTAACCTGTTTGCATTGTGAAAATGATGAACGAAGATGTGAGGATCCAGTTTGTGTCTTCCAGGTCGATTTCGAAGCTCTCTTGTAGATTCACCGTCGTATTCGTCAAGTTTGGGGATCGTAACCCCATACGGGGGAACATAGTCCAATTCGTATCCATACTTAACTCCTTCGAGATATTTCAGAAGAAAAAACACGTATTTTTCTCTGTCTCTCTGTATCTGTACCTATATCTGTAGGTATGACCTACTGTCAACATTTGGCGGGAATAATTCCCACCGTTTTAGCTTTGATCAATTTCAACACATGATTATTATAGGTGATATTTTGGTAAACTTAACACGTTTTTAGAGATAATTTATCGATTTACCGAAAGTATTTCTTTCTTTCTATTTAATTTTCACCACAATTCACTTCTAAGAAAAATTAAACGTAAATAAATCCATAATTCGACTCGAATTTTGCGCGGCAAGAAATGACAGTTATATTTTTTAATTTATTTGCACCGCGCGGGCACACGTCAGAAACGTTAAAATGCCAAATGAAATGCGTGTTTTCATTGCGATCTCTTTTATATTGGGGCGAGTGAATCGCGTGACGGCTGTCAGTAAACAAATAAAGAATTGATGTGGTCTTCTTTAAATGCTAAACGGTTCAGTACGTCATTTAGTTGAAGTAATTTTACCATTATTTTAAGTACAGACGAAAGAAACGAACGCTTCTATTATTTACTTAAGTATTTTTTGTAGGTACTAATTTTTATTATTTTCTTTATTTATATTCTATCTATCTATCTGATATATATGTTTTTAAATACGTATTAAATATTTCGTCAATAAAAAAAAATAAAAAAATAAAAAAATTTACATTTTTAATTTTTACAAGTTTTAATTGGTTTTAGTGCTATTTCCAATATATATTTAATATGTCATAGAAGACGAGCAGTCAGTTTTAAGTGACTATATAACTCAAAAATTAAAAAGAAACTTAGTCCAAACCCAGGAATAGAACTTAAGATCCGTGGCTCATAATATTATCTTATGATCTTTTGAACAATGACTTAGATGATACATACACAGTGAATATCTCACCATTGATTGATTGATTGCAGCAAAAAATCCTAATTCACTTATAGAATCTTAAATACGAACAAAATACTTAATCTTGTCCAAATACAATTTAAATTCTGCATACATGTGTAGATATAATGTGTTAAAAGGTAATTGTTTTTAGGAGTCTGTGTACAAAAATTATACTAGAGATTGAAGAATTGAAGATGTCTTTGTGATGTTGTAACTACTCGGTAGACGTAATTATTATTTTTTTTAAATCTTTGCCCCACTCTAGGATTTTTTCCTGTGTCGTAGGTGCGTTTACAAACATATAATAAATTCAGTCCAAAGGCTGGAATTGTCCCGAACTAGGGCTTCATCTCCAAGCTGGAGTCGACGTGGTGATTTTTAGTCAGTAGGTAAGAGTCTGACACTACCTACCTCCCACCTCACACAAGGTTGCGGGGTCATTAGATGTTGTTACCTCAAAAAAAGCTCATATTATTACCTAATCGATTAATAGGGTAGTTTACCAAATTTTATTTTAATGTCCGTCTGGTAGATTTATTTAAAACATTAGACACGTATGTTGTCTTTTCTCACAAAATTAAATACTTTCGACGATATTATAATTTAAAATATCGTGTGACGTCACAATGCGCTACATTTTGAAGCACTTAGTGACGTAACGACCTCCTACTCCTAAACTTAACTCCATTTTATTTAAGTATTGTAACTTTATATGAGAAAAAAAATTCGTGTCTAATATTTTTTCATTATCTAACTGACGGACTAATTAGATTTTTAATTTTCATTCTCTGGCAACTACCCTATTCCCAATTCAAAATCTTTGGTTTTGACACGAAGTTTCTTTGGTGTTTCTACCAAAAATCCAAGATCGATTCAATTTGCACGGTTGATGCGGTGTCTGGGGATCTGGCTGCGATGGAACGTGTCGCGGTTCCGATTCCCGCACGGACTCTTTGTGTGATCCACAAATTGTTATTCCGGGTCTGAGTGTCATGTGTATGTGAACTTGTATGTTTGTAAACGCGCCAAGAAAATAATTTTCCGAAGCTGCGGATAACCTAACGGGTTACCCGAGCTCTGGATCGAAGCAGAAGTAGGATTAGGGTGGTTTTTCGTCAGTCTGACACTCTCTCTTTCCTCACGCAGGGCAGTAGAACCCATTGGATGATTATACCTATGACGCGGCGGGGCACCGGCTCGAAGGGCAGGAGCAGGAACGGGGTGGTTTTTAGTCAGTAAGAGTCTGACACTCCCTCTCGCCTCACCCAGGCGGGAAAATGATTCGATGATTTTAAAACATAACATAACATCACGCCTTTTATTCCCGAAGGGGTAGGCTGAGGTGCACATTATGCCACTGTACAATGTAACACCCACTTATCACTATTTATGTTAAGAGTTCTATGTAATAGGGGGTGAGCCTAATTTTTTTTCTAAAAACCCAGTAATACTTTGCCCGGCCCGGGAATCGAACTCGAGACCCCTTACCTGGCAGTCGGACTTGCGACGACTAAGCCAACGAGATTTTCCGTCCTTAACTCGTCAAGTAAGTACCGGTTTTGTAGACACAATTATAGAACAATAGGTTGCGGTCACCGGTGACCGCTTGGTATTTGACAGTTTAAAAAAAACCCTCGTAAAAAATCTTTGTAATCTGAAATGGATTAAAATCGATTATTAATTTTGGCATAATATACAGAACCATTGATACCAAATTCATTCTCTATAACTTGTAATTTTTAAGATAACATGTGACTTAGGCGTGACTTGGTAGTAGTAGAATAGAAGCAGTATATCTTAATTCTTAATATTAATGTGTTAGAATCACTACATAGTATAAAACAAAGTCGCTATCCGCCATCTGTCTGTCCCTATGTATGCTTAGATCTTTGAAACTACGCAACGGATTTTGATGCGGTTTTCTTTAATAGATAGAATGATTCTTAAGGAAGGTTTATACGTATAATACAGGTAGTGAAAAGTAAATGATAAATCTTTATTTAATCAAGACTTGAAGACATTGGACATTATCATCTAGTTAGGTTAGAACTTATTTGCTTTGCGCTTCAGTGTTACGATTTGAGATCGATTTTTTACAGTCACCATCATTAACTAAAAATCGCGGGTTACTCACGTGAATATACTGCAAGCTCTACTAGTTTCGAACCACAGAGGGGTTCTTCCTCATGAGCAGCGTGCGCGGTCGCGGCGATGTCGCGCAGCCTACTAGGTATATTCACGTGAGTTACCCGCGATTTTTAGTTAATTTAGTATTATTATAAAAACACAGTCACCATCATCACCAACAGCCTATGACTGTCCACTGTCCAGGTCCACTGTAGACTATGGACCTTCTTTGAATGAGAAGGTTTGTCATAATCTTAACAGTTAGCAGACCATTCGCATGCATCTAGTTGTAGTATTAAAACCAGCGTGCCCAAACCACGTCCAAACTAACACATAACTGAATCCCCAACGATCCTCAAACTCCTAATCCCCAAAAGACCGGTAACGCACTTGTATCGCCTCTGGTGTTCCAGGTGTCCATGGGCGACGCTGATTGCTTACCATCAGGTGATCCATCTACTCGTTTACCGGCTTATGCGATTAAAAAAAATAACATCACGCCTTTTGCAGAGGTCCACATTACGGCACTTAATGCCACTGTATAATGTAACACCCACTTTTCACTATTTATGTTATGAGCCCCATGTAATATGGGGTGAGCCTATTGCCATATACCGGGCACAATTCTAGACCCCGTGCTACTATTGAGATTTATTTAAAAACCCGGTAATACTTTGCCCGACCCAGGAATCGATCCCAGGACCCCTTGCCCGGCAATCGCACTTGAGACCACTCAGCTAACGAGGCAGTCTTATTGCCTTACCTGCATACTGAATAGGTTGGATGACTATACTTCGTCTGCTTAGTTCTAAACACAAGTTATATCCTTCAAGAATAAAACAATGCAGTCAAATTCAAATCATTTTAATGCATCCATAGTGTGTACAGGGTGGTTAACAATTTTTAACAAAATATGTTCCAACTATAGGCCCTTTTGTGCACCGCAAAAGTACTTACTCTACTTACAAAGTAATAGAAATCATTAATATTATTTATTTACTAATTTAATTATTTTAAATCTTATATAACTAATGAATGTCTGATAAATTACGGTTATAAAAAGGCATTAAACTGTCAAACACCAAGCGGTCACCGGTGACCGCAACCTATTGTTCTATAATTGTGTCTACAAAACCGGTACTCGACGAGTTAAGAAGTACCAAATACAGTTAAAAATTCAACCTAAATAACAAGGTCGATGAAAAACAGCAGATATGGGTGCTTACTTACTCTTGAATTCATTTCCGATCGATCGACATTGGTATTGTCAAATTCGTACTCTTGAGTTGCAACACTAGCGCCCATTGCATCCGTATTGCGTGGATATTGAATGAACTAAATGGTATTGAGTTTGGCTTTATATTCCGTACTCTGAATGCTATTTTAACAGCTACGATAGGGGTTGTATAGTTTTGACATTGTATAATTATTGTGATTTTATTGGATTGAAATTGCATTGACATTGAGATTGGTTTCAAGAGTAAGCACCATGATGTCGCTTACATATTATTGAAGCACCAAAATATCAGTGGGTTATTTATGTGTGCGTGTGTAATGGGTTACCACGTTACGAGAATTCAGAAAGTGACAGATGTCCTTCGTGTCAATGTGTGCATGTTCTGCGTGTAAGTCTATAGTAGCCAAAGTCAAAGTTAGAAGTCAAAATCATTTATTCGATTAGACCAGGGGGCTTACTCTTGAATCCAATTCCGATCGATCGACATTGACATTGTGAAATTTCGTACTCTTGAGTTGCAACACTAGCGCTCATTGCATCCGTATTGCGTGGATATTGAATGAACTAAATGGTATTGAGTTTGGCTTTATATTCCGTACCCTGAATGCTACTTTAACAGCTACGATAGGGGTTGTATAGTTTTGACATTGGATAATTATTGAGATTTTATTGGATTGAAATTGCATTGACATTGAGATTGGTTTCAAGAGTAAGCACCCTGAAAGGCACTTTTGAACGTCAACAAACAAATGAAAAGTGAAGCTATTTGCTCATTCCAAGGTGTAGATTCCTATGGAGAAGAACGAGCAAGAAACTCCATAGGATACTCTTTTTCAATCAGGTTCACAATACGAATCTTTAGTTACATAGTTTTGTTGTTTGGATTGTGTGAGAACAATGTAACACTAAAATCCATTCAAAGAGATCGAAAAAGAAAATAACCTTAAAGACAATAAATAATACAGTCTGGAGCTGACCAGTCACAGTTGACGGCGCCCGTTCACGAACTTGACACGTAGCCAGGTGCCACAGTCGTTGTTTCACCCGAGCGTGCGGCGCGTCGTGTTCCGTGCGCGCCTCAAAGAGCCATCAGACCACCACAGATGGGG